CTCCGTCAAACTAGCTTTATCGTGATTACACACAACAGAACAATCAGAGTGCAGTCATTCTTGTCACATTATTTAGTCATGGTTACATAGTATAAGATTAGTAATTTGTATATATATAACAAAATGTCATAACATTATTCGCGTACCTAAATTTATTTAGTTTACTATCTCGTAAAGTAAAACGATCTTGAAACCCCTTAGAAATTAGTAATTTATTTGTGTTTTTTTATTCATTTTTGATACATTTTATATATATCATAAATGTAAGAATCACCATTCATTTGTTCTATGGCAGCACCAGGCCTTTGATATTGCCTTAAAAAATAGATATATGATACAAATTAGCATTTTATAAATTTTCTTTACCTTCAACTACAGTATACATGAGAGAATTGTTTTAAATTGGCGTGAAACTGCTTTACAAAACTTCTTTGTTTTTAATTATGAACGATGGGTAGTTTTAGAAGGGTCATCCTCTTTTGTTGATTTTTAATTTTGAAAACTTTAAAATCACCACCTTTTTATTTTTAGTATCCGCATTACAAAAAATCAGATCTGATTCATACCTAGAACATTAGATCTGTCTTATATAAGGAATTCGATATGTATGAACCAAATCTGACAATAATCAAATCTGGGCAGGATGGGTCAATTTCTGACAGACATCGGATATCGGCAGGATGCATGCACATCTGAAACCATCAATGCATAAATGAGGTCAGGTCTGCCTGAAACAAAGTAGATAAGGACGGATATGGAATCCACGTTATCAGACCTGGGTAAGGTAGGGGCCATATCTGGAAGGTGTATCCATCAGATTTAGAATAAACATATAACCCCATACTTGGGCCAGATATGGTTAGTTCTGATCTGGAGAAACTGTTGCCGTGTGTAGATAAGATATGGCTGTATCAGTCAAATACAGTTCAGGTCTGGGATTTTGTAAGAGCCTTTTCTGAATATAGCAGAGTACTGCTGTATTCTCGGGTATCTTTCACATATAATTAACGTCTTTAATATATATATATATATATTTAAAAAATATATAAACATCTGTATCCTCACAACAATCATCATGATGCTCAATAAGACACGTCAACAATGGGTGTAAGCCATACAAAATCTTCTTGTTAAATAGTATGATATATTTGTGGATAAAGTAACGGCCAAACATAAAATTGTTTTTTACTAAGTAATTGTCAAATTACCAAACTTCTAATTATCAAATTTATTTATAAATCTTTTTCATATTACAGAATCTTGCAATTGAAAAAACTTATAATAACTTGGACATAACTGTGAAGAAGGCATTAGAGCACAGAGATCAGGTTAGTGTCACTAATTATCACCTTCATGCATTACCTAGTTTTATACAGCATGGATAGTATATTCCATGAGCATTTAGTAAAGAAATTACAGTTTGTTGTACAGGAAGTGTTCAATAGTTAAGAAAACTATCGACTTTAATTCATCGAAATATAGACTATTTGATCTCTGTTTAATGAGAAATAAAAATGTATCTTTAGCAGCAAAGAACCAAAATTCAACGTTCTGAATCATGTAAACACACTTTATTAATGAGTTTTCAGCTGTAATTGTGAACCATTACAACTAATTCTTAACAAGCGAATGTATGAAACTTGATTACCTTTACTGATTTGAAAACTAAATATAAATTTATTTATTTTTAAATAGCACATGGAAAGTGTGAAAAAAATGTTGATGAGAACCTCTTTGCAGTGTTGTTATTAGTATAATCTTTATTATTTTGCAGTGGTTTGAGGGAGTATTGAAATGTAAAACAGATGATACACTTGGAGTTGTAGTGGAAAGGATAGTGAGAGCTGAGGTACGATTAATGAAATTCACGTCATTGTAGTGGTTGGGAACCAGATGAATTTGTTTTTATTTAAATCAAATTGTTAATGAAATTTAAATTAAACAAATGATTAAATATTAAAGTACACTTATTACTTCAAATCACAATTTTCCAACTCACAGAATAAAACTAAAGTAAGAGTTGCCGTTATTGTATTTTCTAATTTATTAACTAGTATGTTCTTTGCCAAATATTAATGTAAGAATTTATTTGAATGATGAAATATTTTTTTTAAATTTATACAACAGTTGTTCTTTTTTGGCCTATGTCAGTGTTCATCGTCAAAGCATTATTAAAAGACCACTAACTAGTACACTTGGTACAAACTGGAACAGTTAATTTTTTCAATGGATTGAACCATTTTCATGAACTCTGATGATGGTGAGCTCTATAATATTTTACAAGTTATCTAAATAGTTGAATAACTCGAAAAAAATGTGCGACACCCGTTGGATAAAACTTCAAAGTTTCCTATTGTTTTTGGACAGCATATTAAATTATTATAAATTTTTAAAAAATTGTGTATGATAAACTTTGTAGGATTATTATTTTTCTACTTGCACCAAATAGCATGAATAAAAATAAAGGTATAACATGTTTTGTTGTTTGTTTGTTTTTTCATTAAAGTGCATTATATGGCATTGTATTACCAGAATAATTATAGTTGGCTTGTATGTGCATTTGTATTTTTCTTTTATATTTCTATGTTGAAGTAGCTGAAGTCTATAATTCTATTTTAGGTGCACAGGCTAGTAGTTGTTGATCAAGATGACCATGTTGTTGGCATGGTTTCCCTTTCAGACATATTGAAACTGTTCATACTTCAACCAGCAGGTAGGGTTAAAACTGTAGTTTTATGGATACTTTTGTTTTTCCGCTCATAAACGTAATGGTGACCAGAGACATAGAGGGATCTCCTTTTATTCTTGACTTTGTTTAATGCAAAGTGGAGTTTATTACGATACATTTTTACAAACATAAATAAAATCACGACCTATATCTCCAGAATGTAACTTTATTAGCTCAATATTTCATTATTACAGCTACGTCAGGAACTATCGATTTCTTACCAGTTCACTAATCCAGTTAAATCCAAATTTAGATTAAACTGGAGTAGTTAACTGGTAGGAAATCGACAGCACCTGAAAAAGTTTTAATAGCAAAATATTGAGCTAATAAAGTTCCATTCTGGAGATGTAGGTCGTTATTTTATTTATGTTTATAAAAATGGAAATCCTTTTGTTGTTCTTGTCTATATTTCTGTGCATTCAGTTTCTAATACATTATAAATGTTTTCCTATTAAGGTTAAACTGTGTAACAATCTATGTTATTATTGATAAAATTTAACCTTTTTAACCTTGCACCCATTAAGGAAATCATCCCAAGATATTTTATCATCCCAACAGCCCAGGTTTCAATGAAGCAATGAAAAAAATAAGTATTTTTTGTAACTTAAACATCTCCATTAACTACTGGTTATAAGGCCTTTTTTCAAGTGTTCAAACCTCATTATCATGGAGGTAATATGTGTGTGATAGGCTATTTATATCAAGTATTTGAGAGGGATTTATTATTAAATTTACATAATTAATTAGAAAACATCTGAAAAAAATTCTTAAAAGTTATCATCACCATAATACTGTAGGATGTAAGGTAATATAAAATCGTATTATTCTAGTTATTGTTTTCACCTATTAACCCTAGACTGCCAACATTAAATTTTCAATTATTAACACCAGGTGGTATGGGGTTATAGTGACCCCAAGTAAAGCTGGAGTTCTAGGGTTAAAAGAAATTACCTTAAACCATTTTTCCTTGAGTTTGAAAATCAATTAATTGTATACCCAGTCTTTACATTTTCGGTACTTTGAGAATGACTCTACTTATATTACCGGGTTCGAATCCCCGTCCAACGAAACATGCTCGCCCTTTCAACGGTGGGAGCATTATAATGTGACGGTCAATCCCACTATTTGTTGGTAAAAAAAGTGGCCCAAAAGTTGGCAGTGGTTGGTGATGACTAGCTACCTTCCCTCTAGTCTTACACTGCTAAATTAGAGATGGTTAGCAGTGTTTTAAGGTTGATTAAACATTATTTGGGTCCCACTCGAAATCCTGAATCTCATTTTTTCTCCTGTATGAGGTATTTGTGATCCAATCAATCCAAAAAATGGATTTTACAGATGTAATTGTGTGTATCTTTTATAATAATTGTATTACTTTGCGTACCTTGCTTCAATAACCTATACAACATATACTAAAAAATAAGTTCACGTTAGATTTCAGTGTATCCTTCGTTTTTATGGTATATTGTAACCCTATTATAAAGTGAAGATACAGTGTGTACAAAAACTATCCAAAAAAAGCCAAGATATTTTGTATGGTAGTCTATAGTGTATTGTAAGATATATTCTCACTCGAAGGACTAATGATAATGATGATCTTTTACATCAGGCTAAGAGATGTTCTTATATATTCAACTGTGTAAAAATAGATATTTTTATTAAACAACAAAAATCCTCGTGTTACTTACCTAGTTTTTGAAACATATTATAATATTCTGAATTAAAACACTTTTCACACATTGATTACTTAGGTATCACGACCCTTTTTTTTTTCATTATTATAAAATATTAGTAGAAAAGATGTTTAAAACTTTGACCATCATGTTCCTTTCCATAAAATTCAAAAGATAAAATAATATTTTTTACTTCTTTTAGTTGAATTTAAAAAAAGTAATTCTATGTATTTAATCTTCTATTAAATTAATTAGTGTTAACGAAACTAACATTTACTAATTGTAATTCTTTTATTGGAATTTCTTTCACAGGGGAAGAAAAAACTACGAAGAAGGAAGAATGCCCATTCAAAAAAGATACTTTAACAGAGTCAAATTACAACGAGCAGAGTAATAGAATAGAAAAATGATGGGCAACATTAGTTGACTGATTATATTTGAATATATATATATATATATATTAATGCTTTTTAAAATGGACAGTGTTTGAAATACATCATTGCATTTTGCCATAAAAAAACTGGCAACCATTTGCCAAATAGATATTTAAACGTGTTGCATTTATTACTGTTGAATTAAGGCTTAGTTCATTTTAGTTAAGGATTCTGTTGTACGCACTATCTTACAGTAACTAATATAGTGTTGCAACTTTGTTCTTTCATTGGGTGGGTTCTTTTAAATTATTTAATGAAAATAAAGCCAAGTCTAAACCATATAGGGATAAAAAAAATCTGTTTATTTCCTCCTTAACATTGGCTAGTATCAGTATAACTTGTACACAGTTGTAACTTGTAGGCCTAAGTTTATAAATGATGCTCAAACGGAAATACAATGTTAATTGTACAACGACAGACGTAGAAATAAACGTGTACTATTTCATGCTGGTCGATCACACAAGTGAGTAACGCAATAACTAACACTTAACTCAATACTACACTAGAACTAGATCTTCAATGGATGGCTGGAACTATACCAACTAAAAATAAAATATGCTAATATACTACTAATTTCAATTCACTGGCCCGCTCGTATTTATATCTGATGTCTCATTCTAGTTATTTATTGAAGTTACTAGATTGTTTTTCAATTAAATCTAGAATATTCTAAGTATTTTATGCCTACTCCCACAAAGTTATTTGATCTTAACGCCATCTAGCTAACATCCGAATTAAAGCATTGATAATATAGCCCACAACAATAGATTGAATCAATACTTTTTCTGTATCTTACTAGAAGGTATGTGTGCTTTAAAATTTTCTTTCAATAATTGGATTTTAATGTTGTGTTCTAACATTCTTCGGATCAAGCTTGTAGTTGCTTACTGGTTTCATTTAATGCACTTATAAATTTTACTTTAGGCCTAGCTATGCAATGTATCTTATCGGAGATGTTTAATTGAGAAAAGTCATTTTTTGTCATATTCATACCAGAAAAGCAAACACAAACTTGCAATTAATGTTTCTTAGACTTAGAGATACCACGATCGAGAATGATTTATTTCTTGGACTTAGGCCTAAACTGTTTTAGAGTTTACTCGGTAGTTGTTCAACTAAGCAAAATAGTTTTTGTTTATTTGCTTTTTATTTCCACGTTAAACAAATGTTGGTCCTCATTGTATATAAACTGTGTGTATATTAATTATTGAAAAACTTTGTATTGTACTTAGATTGTTTGTTTTTTATCAATTATAGAGCACAAGGAATTAAACATCTGTGTAGCACAATGATATAAGTTATAGTTACTTCTAATAGTAATATTCTAAAAGTTTTAATAAACCTTCATTACATCTTATAAATTACAGTTTACCAATATCTAAGCTTAAAGCATTGTAATTTTTAAACAATGAACCACCTTGTTAAAGTTATTAAATCTACATTCTTCATTTACGACAAATAATTGCCCCCCATCCACCCCGTTGGCTCAGTGGTAAGTCTGAGGGTTTGTAATGTTAAAAATCGGGTTTCGACACACGGAGGGCACAGTACACGTAGCCCATTGTGTAGTTTTGTGCTTTACTAACAAACAGACAATAATCGTTTTGAATTCATAAAACATTAAGATACTTTAATCAAATTAAACATATTTGCTTTGCAGCAATGATCTACAAGGCCTATGCACTAAAAAAACGTGAGTCCATACTAACATCGCTAGTTATTTATTGGCAGATTTGGGCGTAATTCGTGATGTAGGATTTGACATATGTGTGTAATCCAATCTTGAAAAAACATGTTCCTATTAGAATTTTACATAGTTTTAATATTTCAATTGAAATACTTTTCTCTTTTTCATATAAATGGTCGCTTTAGGTGTATGAAATTTAACCACGTTGTCTTTTTTTTCACAAACAATGGCTAAAAATTAAAACTGTAAATAATGTTAAAATAGTAAAGCCGCGCAATAATATTTAAATATTTTAAGGTGATTACAATTTTGGCCAATCTGTGCATAACAATCATTTGTTCTTTTGTCGTGATGTATTCCAACTAATATTTAGCAAGAGAATTCAGTGTACACGTAAATAAAGTATAGATAAAAACAGATTATTGATTGCCTAACCACTCCTCTTTGGGTAATGACTAGTTTACAACTTGGGAGAGTTTCGTTATCTATGTAATAATAGATAGTATGTCTGAAGATGAGCTTGTAAGACCGCTAATTATCTTTGGGTTTGAATCCCTGTTGAAGAAGCTATTGTCATACCGCCGCAAAACTAATCAGTAATGTACTGTTATTATTTATAGTATTTGACACAAATATATATATATATAGAGAGAGAGAGAGATACTAGCCGGAGAACCCGTCTCCTGGACGGAAGTTATGTAATTTCATGATTAATGAAAGGTTATCTTAGGAAAAGTTGCCTCCCTTATATGTAATTGTAAAAACTCAAGAAGGCCCATAAAAACTGCAAAGCACAAAATGTAAACCGCAAATTTGCATGTATTTCCCCAATTTGGTGAAGATCCATCAACAGGAGGCGAAGTAGTGGTACAAAAAACGCCCGTTAAAATCGCAAAATGCAAAACTGGAAATTTGTATCTATTTCTCCATCGACCCGATGAACCTCCATACCCAATTTTGGTGAAGATCCATCCACAGGAGGTGAGGCAGTGATAAACAACGAAAAAAAACGCTCATAAAACCGCAAAACGGAAAATCCAAAACTGAACATTTGTATGTACGCCTGCATGGACCTAACGAGCCTCCATACCAATTTTCGTGAATATCCATCCACACCCTGCGAAGTAGTTACATGGACAGACAGTACTATTATATTCATATATCTTATAAGTGAAGATTTTTAGGTCAAAATTACACAGATTTATATTGACCACAGTACACTCCAGTACTATTTTTCAAGTAACCTTATTTCGTTGCGATTTTTCTCTTGGAAATAATATTTAAATTGTTTGCAAGGATATTTTTATAATAATTCTATTCATAACGGTGTAAAGATGAAAACGATATAAAATATGAAAGCTTTCAGTTAAAAATGTTATTCACGAAAAAAAATCAACATACTTGTTTTAATTAGAATTATAAAGTTTAGGACTATTGAAATCCAGCATAATATTTTAAATAACATGCAATTTACGTGTTTAAACAAAGTGGTTGTAGAATTATAAAAAATTACCTATTCAGAATGGTCTGAAAAATATTATAATAAACCTTACCCTAATTCCGATGTGTTGTGACAAGTAGAATTCATGAAGATTTCACTTCACAAATTTAAACCAATTCACGCTAAAACATTTCTTACCAATCAATTTCCTTGTATAAACAACGTCTCGACTACTACTGTGCCTGTCGTATCTCGCCTGGCCTAAAGATTCCTGGTATTAGCGAAAGGCCTCTTCAGCACTGAATGTAGCAGATATAATGTGGTTAACCCTATCAACGTCCAGAGAACATTAAAAGGGCAAAAAATCATTGACAGAAAAGAGCGCTTTTAAAACAACGTGAGACAGGCCTTGGGAGAGGAGGCAATGAAGTTTTAGGGGGACTATGGGGGTTGCCTCTGGTATGCATGGGGTAAAAAAAAGATAAGAAAACAGATCCCCTTTTATTCCTATTCAATAGGTCAACACTTAAAATCTAAAATTAGAAGTGGCTTCTTATTAACACAAGATATGGAATCAGGTGTATCTTTTCGTAGTTGTTTACAATTTTTTATGACTGAGAATTGGGGCATAAGGACAGGGGGAGAGGGTGAGCTCACCTAGCCACTCCCTCTGTACGCCACTGGTTGACATATGATTAAGTTTGTTTTTTATTTTACTTTCATGTAGGAGTTGTTATTAATAATATATTACTCAAAACCAAACCAAAATTTCGTTTGAGAAATCAAGTTATAGATTTTGTTTTCAACTTCGTCTGTTCCACTTTTTAAAACATTTTTTGTTAAACAAGCGATTTAACGAAATGAATTAACAACTTGTCGGTAAATAAGAATTTTTTTTTCGTATTACAGTGAAGTACGAAGATGTTTAACACTGGCCGGATGTGACATCACTTTAATGTCCGGCTACGCTCACGTCTGTAGTTACTACGTTCCCGGCAGATGAGAGACTGGCGGATGGCATGGTCTCCTGTACATTATAGTTTTTATATCACTCCCAAAGCATCACGCGATCGGTTTTTCTCTCTTTCTGAAACTAAAACTGTTTGAAATATTAGGGGAGGAGGCAAAAGATGTGTTGGCAATCTCAAAAATTATTAAAATATCCTGTCCCTATTGTTTTTAGCGCATACCTACACAACGATCTGTTACCGCAGGAACTGAACCCCAGGTTTTTGCGTTATCAGTCCATAAAGTTACCACTAACCCATTATGGGACTCAAAAATTGATAAAACCCGTAATCCATTATTAATGTTAGGCCTATTGTCATTCCTTCTGCAATATTAGATATAAATAAACAGGGCAATGTTTATGGCAATACCTGAACACTAATTACAAATTAGCAGCAACTGCCAACTGTTCTTTAAAATACTGGGTCCTTCCACAGTTTTGTCAACTGACCTAGTCAAAGGCCTTAGAGGACGCAAGAAATTATTTTTCTGCGTGTTGACAACTCTGTGTAACAGTGACTATGTAATTAAACTTTCGATGAAGTGACTTATAAACCATCAAACTACTGTGAACTTTGTTGTCAAGTTTGCTTATTTAATATGTGTGTGTGTGTGTTTTGTTGTTGTTTTTAACTTATTAAACAATCTTGCTTAAGTAAAATATTACGGAAACTTCTGTTCCAAAGGAATTAAGCTTAACAGTATATATGACCGTACCTATCAGCCAGAGTATATTTATAATCACAAATGATATCCGCGTATGTTTATATTAAAAAAAAAAACATAATTAAAACTACAACAAATAATAATGTTACTGCACAAATATAAAACTCAAATTGGTCAAGCATTTTGTGAGGAGTCGAACGTCGTAACCATCTGGCCATGCCGGGCCTTGGTCAAACAGAAACGATACTATTCAGTTTAAATTTTTATCCCAAACGATATAGAAATCTATATATCGGCGGTTTAGGGGACATATTACAATAAAACTCATTCATCAATTTAACATATTTTTCTTTACCAGTTCTATACAAGTTTCCATTAAAGGAATATAATAGCATCTCGACCTCACATCTTTCTGGACACCTTGTGTGCAGCAAGCCATTGCTAACAAGGCCTTTTGCTCAATACTGGAGCTTATCTGGTCGGCTGGAAATATTACATAAATCACCAATCTATAGACCACACTTCTCTGGTATAAGGCATGATATATGTTCCATAACAATTGATATCTATATATATAAAAGAGGAAGTTTGTTTATTTTGTTCGCTATTGGAAACCAAACAGTTCAACTTTATTTTAAATAGCTTCGTAATATCCAGTTTTTACAAGAAATTTAATGGTGCTATTTTTTTTGTATTTGGTGTAGCATTTAATGACCTTGCTGTGAATTCAGTATTTTCAAAAACAGTTTTTTTTTAATAGTGCTAAGTGGTTTCA